ATGACATAGAGTAAAAGGGAGAAATGCAGCAGCCGGCGACGGCAGCAGCAGAGGCAGACGTTTTCACGACAGAAAGTTGGTGGGTGAACTGAACGGGTGCCTGCCCAGGCACCAGGAGGGCGTCACGCCCGCGGGCCGATCAGCCGATCGCGACGCGAAGGTTTTTAACGTTATCGAGGCCTTGCTCCTGCTCCTCCCCTGCTTTCAAATGGTGGCCGATGATTTGTTCGGGTCCGCTCGCTCGACCCGTCCTCGCCGTGTGTCAGCCCTCCCCCCCATCATAATTATAACCATAGCCATAATTATCATAATTATTACCATCATCATCATCATCATCATCTTTAAAGGATAGAATGAATTCCATTCTCATGACGTGGCGTTGTGGACGATAGCCGGGAGAGCAGCAGTCATCGCGTGTTTTGAGTCACATTATTGGCCAGGCCAGACCGGCTGCGATAGAAACGTCAACCGCGCGGCGCTGCATCACCATAACCGTTCAAACTGGCAGTATTAGCCGGGCCCGGCGTAGGCCGGCGCCGCCACCCGCAGAGAAGTTTATACGAGTGAGCCGGGCGCATCGCGAGCGCGCCACGCAACATTACTCATATCTCCACTAAAGATTTAGCACTCTTTTTCGAAAGTACACATTTTTGTGAGCATACTCGCAAAAATAATTTATAAAAAATATGCCTGAGCATGATTTGTGAAATCACTATTTTTTGTGAGCAACGCTTGCAAAAAATGCCGTTGGTACCATTTTTGCGGTAGTACCATCTTTGTTAGAATTGTTCGCAAAAGTAATACTTTAACTGAAGTACAAATGTCTCTGCGAGTATTAGTGGCAAAAAATTATATCAGCAAAATTTTATTTTGGGACTTGTCTCTTGGTTGACCCTCGAAACGAACAAAATGAAGGCAAGGCGGTGCACGGGTGGAGGACGCCAGAGTATATTTTCCCACGCTACGCACAACGTTGCAGCGGCGAGAAATTCATCCGGGTTTTTCGCGCGCGCGACACGGCGACGCCTTTTAATAAGCTGCACTGACGACGGCGTTGGCAGCGGGGCGCAAAGGAATCGATCACTGCCTCACCTTTGAGCGCTGCAAGTCGACAGACGCGCAGTCGACGCGTCACAGACAACAAACTAGAGTGGGTAACTAGGAACACGCGCGCCGACTGCAACGGCCGGGTCACACCAGGCTGCAAATATGAGACCTAAACTTACAGCACCCCTGCCCTGCCGATTTTAAGTTTCTTAGACGCCACAAAACATTTCAAAATATAGAGGAAGATTGGAACAAAGCAGTTCTCTAGAATTTGCGGGAATTTTTATCACATGTGTCAAGATAGATTCTTGACTGAGATTTTTTAAAGATAATGTTACCAAACTAGTGTCATATGGTGGGGCAGTCTGGGACTTTCCTCTCAAGCCGTATTCTTTCGCCCCGCTTGCGACAGCGCTGTCGCTGCGCAGCAGCCCGCTCCTGGCGCGCGGGGTGTCGGGCACGTCGCCGTTGCCAACCTCGCGGCCGGCTGAACGACAGATCCATCCCACGGCGCGGGCCTCTGGCAGCGCAGCGCAGCGCCGCACTCTGACGCTAATCCGACCGGCCAGCGCTGTCCGGGACGTACAGCTATGATCGCACCTCGGCGACGTCACCTGTCGGACCTCCGAAGGACGTCCATCCGCCCCGGGCCGGCTGCCGATCTGAGGAGAGACTTTCGCTAGTGACCGCTGAGCCGTGACCAGGCCGACGAGACGATAGACAGCGGCGGCAGCGGCGGCGTCGCAGAGCCCCGCGGGCATGGCGGGGCGGGCTGGGACCGATGATGGGTGACGCATCCGTTCCGAACGGCTGGCACACCAGGAAATGCAGCGGTGGCCGGCAGGAGGCAATGGTGCGGCGGCTAAGTCCTGCTCGGCGAGGAGAGCAAGGCGCGCGCGCGCCGAAAAGAAGAGCGCGACTACAAAAGGGGGAGAGAGCAGAGCGGCGCGACAACTTACCTGTTGTGGCTCCAGCAGCGGCTCCAGCGGCCCCAGCAGCGGCCCCGGCTCGTGACGGACTGCTGATTGCCCCTATCAAACCGGGTTGCGTCACCGCGGCGAGCGTGGCACGGCCAAGTACGTCTGCCAAACACCAAAAACACAAGAAACATAAACAAGTGTTTGGCAGTAAACCAGGCGGCCTCACGACTCCGCGTGATTGGATGCCGATAAATCCGTTTTGTGGTTTTCTTAAAGCACTCACACAAACAAGGAGCAAGGGTTCTTCATCAAAACTATATCACGTTGAGTGTCCTTGACGTCAACTGCAGCAGCGGGAGGTGAGAGGTCCTCGAGGCCAAGGCTTCCGGTTTTAGTATCCCCAGGGTTGAAGCTGCATCCTCTCCTAGAACAGGCTGGACTTCCCCCGCCCTGTCACATTTCCAGGATGCGAGTTAGGAGTGTGCTACACAGAGGACAGAGCGGGAATTTACATTAGGATACATGCATACATACCATTGTAAAACTGGCGCAGTTCGGACTGGAGGGGTCCCCGGAGATCATACAGCGTTCTGGGCGTATCGCTGGAGCTGCTATCTTGCGACCGGTTCCTCTCTGGACCGGAGGCGGGGCGGCGGCCATTGCGCGCAGGAGAACCACCACCTCCCCGGGAGGGTTAGGTCCTTGCTGGCCAGCCTGGCCGGAGTGGGGGTGACTCGGCGGGGCGCGGCGAGTAGATGGCGTAGATGACACAGTTGATAACGTTCTGATGAGCGCGCGCCGCGCCGTGTTGATCTGGAGTACCCAGCAGGCCCCCCTCCCCCCCATACTCTATTTCACTCTTAAGTGTGTTCGACCGGCGACATCTGCTGATCTCTTTCTTTTAAAGTTATCATTATCATTATTATCGCGTTTGAGTTAGTCCAAATACATGGAGATGCATAAACGCAATCGTCGTGCATCAAAATTAAAAAAAAAATAAAAAAATAAACAAAGTCATTTAAGGTTGTATTTTTTACAAAAATTTTATAATTACTACTGTTTTGTTAATCTCTGAAACTGTTCTTGTGGTAAAGTTTAAATTCCCCGTGCTGCGTTAAAAATAGTGTTAACACACACACTGGCCGCGCTGCGGCGGCGCGCCCCGGATGGCCGGGCTGCTGCAGTCGCGCTCGGGTGGCCGCGGCCGCGACACTTCTCTCTCACAGACAAAACACCGCGCGCTATGCAAACCCCCCCTCCGGTCGTTCCATCTCTGGCGACGCCTTTCTGCGGGCGGCGCAAAACAAAAGGATTCGATTGTAAAAAAAAAAATGGGGTAAAAAATGACATAGAGTAAAAGGGAGAAATGCAGCAGCCGGCGACGGCAGCAGCAGAGGCAGACGTTTTCACGACAGAAAGTTGGTGGGTGAACTGAACGGGTGCCTGCCCAGGCACCAGGAGGGCGTCACGCCCGCGGGCCGATCAGCCGATCGCGACGCGAAGGTTTTTAACGTTATCGAGGCCTTGCTCCTGCTCCTCCCCTGCTTTCAAATGGTGGCCGATGATTTGTTCGGGTCCGCTCGCTCGACCCGTCCTCGCCGTGTGTCAGCCCTCCCCCCCCCCCCCCACTTAGTGCTACTATGTCATCTATTTTAGCCACCCCCTCCCCCCCTCCCCCCGGGCGACCAGGCCAAGAGCTGCGGCAGGGCGCAGATCCTCGGGTGCTTGAGCAAGCTTCTTTAAAAGACTGCTCCCATGACAACAAATAAATGAATCACCTGCGACGCGACGCAGTATTTAAAAGCAAATACCAGTGTACACTAGTTAAAATATTCGTTAACCATAAATCTTTTAGCACAGGTTTATTAAGTCGAAATTTATATCAGTACAGAAGAAATTCGGACGGCTTCTCCCCCGTGTGAGTGCGTAGATGAGTACGAAGATTGCATCCTTGCGAAAATTTCTTGTTACACACAGTGCACTCAAAGGGCTTCTCTCCCGTGTGGGTGCGTAAATTTTTGCGCAGATGGCCACTTTCCGAAAATTTCTTGTTACACACAGTGCACTCAAAGGGCTTCTCTCCCGTGTGGGTGCGTAAATGAGTGCGCAGATTTCCACTTTCCGAAAATTTCTTCTTACACACAGTGCACTCAAAGGGCTTCTCACCGGTGTGCGTGCGAAGATGAGTACGAAGATGGGATCCTTGCGAAAATTTCATGTTACACACAGTGCACTCAAAGGGTTTCTCTCCCGTGTGGGTGCGTAAATGAGTGCGCAGATGGCCACTTTTCGAAAATTTCTTGTTACACACAGTGCATTCAAAGGGCTTCTCTCCCGTGTGGGTCCGTAAATGAGTGCGCAGACTGCCACTTTTCGAAAATTTCTTGTTACACACAGTGCATCTCCCGTGTGGGTCCGTAAATGAGTGCGCAGACTGCCACTTTTCGAAAATTTCTTGTTACACACAGTGCACTCAAAGGGCTTCTCACCGGTGTGGGTGCGTAAATGAGTGCGCAGACTGCCACTTTCCGAAAAATTCTTGTTACACACAGTGCACTCAAAGGGCTTCTCTCCCGTGTGGGTGCGTAAATGTTGGCGAAGACCGCCACTTTCCGAAAATTTCATGTTACACACAGTGCATTCAAAGGGCTTCTCTCCCGTGTGGGTGCGTAAATGAGTGCGCAGATTTCCACTTATCGAAAATTTCTTCTTACACACAGTGCACTCAAAGGGCTTCTCCCCGGTGTGGGTGCTAAGATGAGTACGAAGATGGGCTCCTTGCGAAAATTTCATGTTACACTCAGTGCATTCAAAGGGCTTCTCTCCCGTGTGAAGGCGTAAATGAGTGCGCAGATTTCCACTTATCGAAAATTTCTTGTTACACACAGTGCACTCAAAGGGCTTCTCCCCGGTGTGGGTGCTAAGATGAGTACGAAGATGGTCTCCTCGCGAAAATTTCATGTTACACTCAGTACATTCAAAAATTTTCACTCCCGTGTGAAGGCGTGTGTGACGATTAAGGGAACTATGTGTCGAAAATTTCTTGTTGCACACATTGCATTCTACAAACTTTTCTTCGGTGTGGGTTGGCTTGCTTTGAAAGGGGACCATTTCATGGGAAACGATAGATTGGTCCTGCATTGTTGAAACCTTAAATCCGCGCGTCTGAAAACAAACAAGACAACAAAATTAATGGAACTGCATAGCAGATACTTCGAACGCATAACCTCTAAAGAATCACTAAACGGGCACGTGTTGTGTTAATGTGCGAGTGCCACAACACTGGTAAAGCAATTGTTTAATTTTGAACGTAAATTGATGTTTAAGACGTCATGTCGCACCGACAGGACAGAACTGAAGTGTACCTCACGGAGCGCCTGGAGAAAAACACAGATAATGATAAACCTGAGCGAGTGTTTGGAGTGGGGTCAAAACGCGCCCCCCGAGGACGTGTACGGGGACAGGGCGCGCACTGCACTGCTGGCCGCGCATTGCTGGCCAGATTGTTGCCTCAGCGGCAGACAGGACCGCCAGGACGGCCCGCCCCGCCGCGCGACGCTACACGACGATAATGACAACGCCTTGCACAACAAGAGAGCATCGCGCCGACCCCCGTTTTCTCACCCTTCCTATCCCCCTCATTTGTCTAGCCGCCCCCCGGCGGGCCGCGGCCCGAGGAGAGCAGCCCGAGATGACACGTCCGATACAGGGCGTGATGGACGCGGGTCCCGGGCTGGGCCGGGCTAGGCTAGGCCCCGCGGGAGCAGCGGGACGCATTTCGGCATCGCCGGGGGAGGCCGCTCCGCACCGCCCCGCGCCGCCCCGGAGGCCCCCCGACCGCTTCATCAAGGGCGACGCGCCGCGATCACTAACGGCCGCCGCTTCCAGGAAGCGCGGCGCCGGTCAGAGAGAGAGAGAAAGAGATGGGCGAGCACAGCGTTAAGAGCAAAATTTTGCCCTCCAGCCGTCTCGGCCCATCGGCGCGTCGCGGAGCTGACGCTGCAGACGGGGGCGCGGCCGGGGTGCCAGGAGGAGGCCGCCCCTGGCCGCACCAGGCCGCGGAGGTTCCCGTCAGCCACCCCACCGTTGCATAAGGGGCGCCCGTATTATGCCAAAAGATGACACGGTGGATAACGTTTGATGAGCCCGCCGGCGACCTCCTCCGGCGGCGCCCTGGCGGCCGCCCGAATCGTGATGGCGCTTCGTGGCGCGCTATCTGCTCCTCATCGGCAACCTGGTGGGGAGGGAGGCCGCCGCCGGCGAGGGTCAGGGCCACGGGGCCAACAGCGACGGCGGGTGGTGGCGAAGGTGCAGCACGACGTCGAACACTACCCCCACGCGGGGCGCACACACGAGCCCGTCAAGTGCATGTCACACGGCCACGACGATGGCCCCGCCGAGGAGGTCGCGGGAGGTGTTGCCGAGGAGGTCGCGGGAGGTGTTGCACCCCGCGTCCGCGCCGTCCGCCCAACCCACCTCGCGCAACACGGCAGTTCCGTTTCCCAGAAGTAGAGGGATACACAACAATAGGTTGTAATGGTTGGGTTAGGTCGGCGTGCGGCCGAGCAGCCCGCAGCAGACCGACACACCGCCGACGGGCCGGCCGACCCGGCGCCCCCAAACGAGATGCGCAACTTGCGTAAGGAATCTGGAGCAATGAAGAAGAAAGCTGTTACTCTGCCCCCAAATTACTCTGCCCCCTCGTAATTATGCAATGTAATCTGTCCATCTCAAGCCGGGAGGCGGCGGCGCCCATAGAGACCGCCGCAGCAGGAGCGCGCCCGCCACCTTCCCAACGTTTTGAAACGCGCGCCTCAAATAGGCGCATTTAAGCCCTTGTCAGCCGCTCGCGTTGCGTCGCGGGTCGCGCGGCGGTGGTCGCGGGGCGCGTGATAGGGCGTCCCCAGATGTAAGTGTGGCCGGCCGGTTTGCTCATTTGCGAGGCGAATATTGTTGCGAGCCTTGCGCAATGCGCCGGGCCGGCCGCCATGCGCTGCAGCGCGCCGCGCATGTCGCTAGTCGCCGCCCATGTCGCCATGTCGAACATGGCCAGAGCGCTGCTATCGCTCGCAGTGTGGCCAACATGTCGTAATTAACCCAATGCTTATTGCCTTACAACTTACAACAACGGCAGACCGCCTGAAACGCAACAACACTGTACGTACGAGAATCGTAAAAGAAAAGGCTCAATTAGGTATGTGGAGCGCTGCGCAGGAGGCGGCCCACCTGCGTCGCCGGCGATCGGACGCACCCATTTCAGTAAGAAATTTCATTCCTTTAAACCAAGACAGTGAAGCTAACTCGCGCCCCTTTCCCCGAGGTGCGTACACGGGAAGGAAATTGGAAGGGTGCGATGCAAGAGACGTGCGTCAGAAAGGGAAGGGAAAGGCGCAAGGGAAGCGGCGGTGGCGGCGGGAAGAAGAATTGCGAGAGTATCCGATATATCGGCGGGCAACCGCACCGCACGGCGGCCCGGGCAACGGGACCCAAGGACCCTGCGTCAGGAAGGGGTGGCCGGGGCGGCGGGGGCGGCGCGAGGCTGGAAGTGGATGTGGTTCCCGGCGCCACGCACACAGGGGCGCCGGCGGGCGACTCACCGGACACATCGCGCGGGAGAGAAAACCGGGAGCAGCAGCAGCGGCGGCGGCGGAGACTTGGACGCAGGTCGAGGCGTGGCAGCATAGGCACTCCCGGGGGACCACTTCGGCAAATGCGTTCCCAGAAACTCTCAGGTGATATTGCGCATGACTGGTGGCATTAATAGCGCTTCCCACGGCCCGCCCTCGGCAGCAGTTCGGCTCGAACCGCATCCTCCACTTGGAATTTTTGGTGTTCATATCTCCTAAACGACTCTATAAAGTTACAAAAGTTTGTTTGGGATAGCTTTCATTAATTTAAAACTCAATTTCAAATGTCAGTTTTCAATTCATAACTTATGTAACACTGGCCGTGTAGGAAATAAAAAATACAAAAACCCAATTTCAAAACAAAAAAAAAAAAAAATTCTTAAGTTTGCATATCCCGCTTGGCAGCGGCAGCCGGCAGTGTGATTCGGGTTTGGCGGCAAAGTTTGAGCAGCCCGTCCTCTTCGTCTCACAACAGCAATCAATGAGAGGCGTCCACGCCTCACGCCCCGCCATGGACCCGGACGACAGCTCGTTTGCGACGGGAAGCAAAGCGAGAAGAATTATGGCTGGAGCCGGCAGCAGTCTGGCAGCAGCCCGCGGCCGTACAGAGATCAGCGCACGGGTCACAAGTGTTTAACTTGGGCCCGCTAATGCATCACCTCGCGGACACGCTGCGGACGCACAACGCGAGGAGCAGCAGCGTGGCCGAGTGTGTGGCTCTGACGCGCATGATCACTCTGAAAGTTTAAGTGTCAGTCCAAAAGTTAAAAGAGCAATAGCATATGTATCACAGTTAACTGTCGTACCATACATGCCACTAGACATGCACACAATAATTGTATTTCATTTTAATTTAA